ATTTAATCCCTTTCAGAGGAGGTCTGGTTGAGAGTATTTAACAAACTCATTTCATATCAGTAAAAGTGAGTGTGTAGATTACTTGCAGGAAGACGATGTTGCTGCAACTTTCCTTGCTTTCTTTTGTTCTTGCATGATTTTAAAGACGTGTGGTTGAGTTCACCGACGTTTGAACGCGGCTTTGCAAGACTGCTGGTCATTCAGCATTTTCAGCATTTGATAGATTAGATTGTAAGAAATGAGGTTAAAAAAGTGGATGTCTTTGTGTCACTTGGCCAGTGCGAGTGATGCGTGGAACGAGGCATGCAGCATTACTTCTGAGGAATTTGTTGTTGTGGCCCCTAGCAGGTTTGATTCGCGGCTACCTTCATCCAAAGGTCGTAGTTAGGGCTGAGGTCAAGAGGTTTTACGTGAAGTGGAAGGAGGTGGCAGAACGAAACGGGAGGCGAACGAAGGAGAGCAGGGAGGAGGGAAGAACGGTGGTTTGGGACATTCCTAGGCACTGGAAAGGGGATTTTGTGGGTGAAAATTGCTTAGCACATCACGAAGTCACAAACAACTTTTCTGTGATAGTGTTTTCAGGTTTGAAAAAAAAAGAGGAGATTTCGTTGCGTTACGGAAGCACATTTTAGCTCCCTTTTTTGAGGGTATGCGCCAAAGCCAAATCAGAGGTGACTTTAAAAACAGTTTTAATGTGCTAAGAATTGTGTCAAGTGTGAGGTCTAGCATCACCACTCTTTGTGGCACGTCACAGCTTTCTGGTTGTCTTTCAGTTGTTCTGCTACTTCTTTGAAGTGGATAATCAGGAGGAGGGCAAAGAATGTCGAAATGGATCATCATAGGCGCGTTTGAAGCGGAAGGGCTTCAAACATTTTGTGCGCCTTTTACGTAGAATGACGGAAATTTTTTTATGCATTCGTGGAAATTTCAGCCCACCTTTAAAGTGTTGCATAATTTCTCCTGTTGACAGCTGACTTCCAATCTGTCAAAAGTGGATCTGTTGTCAGTGGACAACCGCAACGTGTCTCGAGTTTCTCCGATCACCTTACAAGTGGACAACCGAAGTGCTGAACGTGAACAGCGTCTGATGGATGAACTGATGGAGACGAGACGCGAACTGCAGCACACTCGTAGCCTCATGTCGGAGGAGGGAAAACGGGGCCTCAACTATGGATCCACGCTGAAGGTTCCTGTCAACAATGAGATATCGAGAAATCAACCCATCAGGTACTTTTCATTTCCCTCTCTCCCTCCTATTGTCTTTTCAACGTGCTTTAATAGGCAAAATTTGCCCAACAGTGGCCCAACGGCCCAACACTTGCGTTAAGTTGTGCTTACCTCAACTCGCACATCCACCCTCAGCTATCATAAATGTGGAGAGAGGGATACATGTCATGCATTTATGACGT